TCCTTTCCCCTGCTGCTGTATTATCCCCCACTTCGGTAGGGGTAGGAATGAAATCTCATAGCTTATCGCTTGTTAGGCTTTTATTGATAAAGAATTATGATTTACACGCCGAATTCACTGCAAGGGATTTTGTAATCTTATGTAGGCTAAAATTCAAAGCTTAGAATCACAACTCCATGAATCCAATCGTTCAAGTGAGGCTAGGTCTTTGATTGGCACAGAACAGCCGGGGGTATCACCAAATTCCAAGGCAACTAGTGATGATTTGGATTCTTCTTCTGTTACCAAGAAACTTGAGGAAGAACTCAGAAAGCGTGATGCACTTATAGAGGTAAGCAGTTAAAAGCTAATACCCATTGACGCTATGACATCTGGTGATGGATTTGAATTCATAACCATACCTTTTTAAACCACTGAACTGTTCTAGTGCATTGCTTTGGCTTTATGGATTAATCATTCAATTTATGTAACTCTTCACTGCTCTCCTTTCCTGAATTCATCACAACCACATATGTGGAAGAGCAGGGGGAACAGGTGGATTTACCTTTCTTTATGTTTTTAGGTATGTCTGTTGAAGCTCCATTGGTCATGGCATGCTTAAGTTCAATTACCGAGGAGCTTTGGTCTAATGCTGAACTTCTGGGTTTATTATGAATGGAATGAAGTGTAAGTTTATCTTCATAAACTTTTCTAATAGTTTCTTATCTTTTGTGCAGAGGTTGCATGAAGAGAATGAGAAGCTATTTGATAGATTAACTGAGAAAGCCTCACTAAGTGCATCTCCACAGGTGATTGTTATTTTCTGTTTCCCTATGGCTGATGGAGTGTACAACATATTTTCCCTTTATATTCTTGGGGTAAATATGAAACATGTCTATTCTGCTTTTTCCGTGTCAGTTTGTTGAGTGCTTCTGCAACCATCATATCTTTCATACTGCAACCCTGCTTATTGTTTCACCCATCAATCCATCATCAGCTTTGCTACTGTGTGTGGTCCTTGTTTTTGGTCTTCAATGTGTATCTGCTACATATGGTCATTTTAGGCATGTTTCTCAAACAATAAGCTCAACCTTGTTACTGCTAGGTAGTGAAATGTTCTATTTATTTTAGGTTGTGCTTCTCCAATCTTTGGCATGCTGAATGTGTGTAATTCTACTATTAGGGTGACGTTAGAAGCATAGTTGGGCGTAATGTTTAATGGATTGAGTGTGAAGCTTTTCCCCCCCTTTACTGACTTAATTTCCTTGGCAGGTGTCAAGTCCAGTACCAAAAGGCACTGTCAGTACTCAACCACGGGACCTTGGAAGGTGTTGACTTAAGAAGAGTTTAGTTATCCTGTTAGTTCTCTATTTTTCTTTGTATGTGTCTTTTGTTTACATATATTTATGTTGCCCTTTGTCAGGAATGATGCGAACACGGGACAGTCCACAAATATTGTTCCTTCACCATTAGCTGCGGCCAAACCTGACGGAACTGTTGCCTTGGTTAAATCTAGCTCAGAGATGGTCAAGACGACCCCAGCAGGAGAATATCTTACAGCTGCTCTAAATAACTTTGATCCTGAACAACAAGACAGCCTTGCTGCAATTTCAGATGGAGCTAACAAGCTTTTGATGTTGGTATGCTGACTGATAGTGCAACAGTTCCCTTCTAGTTTGCTCTGCCAAAAGTCTTTACTATTATGCACCCTAATGTTTAATGTCGGGCGTGAGTTGAAGTTCTTGCAATCATTGCAAGCACAATACTTCTTCCACGATTCATTGAAACTAGTATTAAAGTATAGGTCACATGACGCCTCTTCCCTCTTATAACTTTTAGTCCAAGGTTTCATCTGAGTAATAATTTTCATCTAGAGCGATTTATGTTATCTATGCTTTCTTTATTAGCCTTTGTTATTGACCCGTGTCTACTTTGATGCGAATACAGGAGTTGACAGATAGGAGTATTCCTGAAGTTCTTTTTTTTTCTTGTGGATGTGAATGTTCATTCTGGTTCCTGGGCCAGGTCCTTTGGGGGAAGCCATTATATGATTTCCAAATATTGTGTTAATCTTGTCATTGTGTTTGTAGGTTTTTGAATTCTTTAGTAAGCATCTATAGCTTATCCTGAAGGCATTGCTGATGGTATCTGCTATTTTTTGCAGGTTCTGGCTGCTGTTATTAAAGCTGGTGCTTCAAGGGAGCATGAAATACTGGCTGAAATCCGAGATGCTGTTTTCTCCTTCATCCGTAAAATGGAGCCAAAAAGAGTGATGGACACCATGCTTGTTTCTCGTGTTCGCATTTTGTACATAAGATCTTTACTTGCAAGATCACCAGAACTGCAATCAATAAAGGTTAACGTTCGCTCATCTGATTCGGTTTGTTGTTTTGCAAAGCATGATATGCTTCATCCGATTTCATAAGATCATTGTTTTTCCTATTCCTCACTACCTGCAGGTATCTCCTGTCGAGCGCTTTCTGGAAAGGGCAAATACTGGAAGAAGCAGAAGTTCAAGCCGTGGCAGTAGTCCTGGAAGATCTCCTGTACGTTATGCTGAGGAGCAGATCCAGGGATTTAAAGTGAATATAAAGCCAGAAAAGAAGTCCAAGTTGTCATCTGTTGTGTTGAGGATGCGAGGAATTGATCAGGTGAGGCTGTGATTCATACTGCCTGTTTACTTCTGTACTGTTCCCCTGGCTTTTGGAAAAGTGTTGATCTCGAGACTATGACTATTTCGATAACTGATGTGCCTGAACCTTTGAACTGTCTTTTGTTGCAAAACAGAAACTCCATAACTTGTCTTTATTTGTCTGCATGTCCATTTTTCTATCAGTTGGTACTTGTTATCTCGTAACTGAATTTAATCGTCTTTCGATTCGAAATCATGAGCTACCTGACGTTTTCTTCATGTTGCATTTGAACTTTTATCTCCTGTACAGGACGTGTGGAGGCAGCAAGTTACAGGTGGGAAGCTGAGAGAAATCCAGGAGGAAGCAAAAAGCTTTGCCATAGGGAATAAGGGTCTTGCTGCTCTCTTTGTGCATACTCCAGCTGGTGAGCTGCAGCGTCAGATCAGGTCATGGCTGGCAGAAAATTTTGATTTTCTTTCTGTCACCGGAGATGATGCTTCTGGAGGGACGACTGGTCAATTGGAGCTCCTTTCTACTGCAATTATGGATGGTTGGATGGCGGGACTTGGAGCCGCAATGCCTCCTAGCACAGACGCACTTGGGCAGCTTCTATCAGAGTATGCTAAGCGGGTCTATACTTCCCAAATGCAGCATTTAAAGGTATTTTCCCTTGTTAGTTGTTGCCTGGAAAATCCGATAAATTTTCTAAACCATGTCATCGCAGACAAGTTGATGCTTCCTTTTGAGAAGGAAAATTATCTTGAAGTAGTGGCTCTAACTTCACATAATACCACTGCAATCAGTGAGCATTTTTAGGCATTTGTTTACTGGTTTTTTCCCTGATCAGGATATTGCGGGAACCTTGGCAACAGAAGAAGCAGAAGATGCAATTCAAGTAGCTAAATTACGATCAGCATTGGAGTCTGTTGATCATAAAAGAAGAAAGGCAGGCCTCTTCCATTTTCTATTAGGGGTTCCCTTATATCCTAATAGTTGGGCTTCATTAATTTCTCTTTTTTTCTATTGAATAGATTTTGCAGCAAATGAAAAGTGATGCCGCGCTTCTAGCACTGGCAAGCAGTGCACCTATTCACAATCCTTCTACTGCCGCTGAGGATGCTCGATTAGCTTCTCTAATCTCACTTGATGGCATATTGAAGCAAGTCAAGGTTAACCTCTCACTGCGCTGTTTACTGTCATTTTTACGATATGCTTATGCTTTGATATAGCAAGTTTCGATACAACAAACTGACTATCTGGTTATTTTCATAGGACATATTGCGACAATCATCTGTTAACACCTTGAGTAAAAGTAAGAAGAAAGCATTGCTATCTTCTCTCGACGAACTTGGGGAACGCATGCCATCTCTTCTCGAGATCGATCATCCTTGTGCACAAAGGCAGATTGCAGATGCTCGCAGCTCAGTTGAGGTATTTTGTTTTCATCTCACTTAGTCTCACCTTGAGTAACGAAAAACCTATTTTGCAAACGACAATTTTGACAGTTTTCTTTTTGGCATGATCCATGTAGAATCTATAGCTTGACTATCTTGATTCCAACATTTCTTTTCAACTTTGCAGTCAATCCCTGAGCAAGACGATGCTATTTTCGAGCAAGGTCGGAAACCATCAGCGGATGCTGTGGGGTCTGGCACCGAAATTGACGTGGCACAATGGAATGTCCTGCAGTTCAATACGGGGTCCACAACTCCCTTCATCATCAAATGTGGAGCGAACTCGAGATCGGAACTGGTAATCAAGGCCGATGCACGGGTCCAAGAACCCAAAGGCGGCGAGATAGTGAGAGTGGTTCCAAAACCATCTGTTCTCGAAAACCTGGACCTGGAGGAAATGAAACAAGCATTCTCTCAGCTTCCCGAGGCCCTGAGCTTGCTAGCGTTGGCGAGGACTGCAGATGGGACGAGGGCACGGTACTCGAGACTGTATAGGACTTTAGCCATGAAGGTCCCATCACTTAGGGACCTGGTTAGTGAACTTGAGAAAGGGGGTGTTTTGAGAGATGTGAAGTCGTGAATGGAAAATCCGAATATGTATTCTTCGCCCACGTGTTCTATGTAATATTATTGCGCATTTGTATATGTGTTGGTTTTGTTTGTCAGGGAGAGCGGGTTCAAGGGAGGGAATTTCTATGGGGAGTTGGGGACAAATTTTGGCTTCTGAAATCTGATTTGGTAGTGCGATTGGGTTGAAGAAGCTGTGTATTGGTAACTTGTATAACAGTTGTAGCACTTGTAATCTACATTTTATTTTTAACTGTGCAGGTTAATTGGTACTGAATTGCACAGGTCATTCTTAATTCTTTCAGAATTTTGTTGTTATCATGGATCACAATCCACTCATTTTAGCAATCTACCAGTTTCAACATTTCGTTCAATGCGATGGAAGACTGACATACAAGACCATGAATTTGCCACAACTAATATTCATTGATACCTTGTTGTACCATACTGACTGGTTCAATACATAATTTCACTTTAATTTTACATTACCAACCATGCTAATTTTCTTGCTAATTGCTAAACTCAAAAGGAAGGACTCGGGTCTACGCAGAACTTGGGCAATGTCTCGGCAGGCCTTCCTGGCCTCTTTTTGGTCCCTTTGAGAATCAGGTATTGTACAAACATCTGTAGCTCAGAGAAAGAAGAGACCTGTGATTGCTACAAAGCCACAATGTGCTTAGGCATAACTAAGAAGTCATTCAGGAGCCAAACTCGAGCTGTGCTCGCTTCAAGACAGCCGCCACAGTCTGGAAAAACTCTGGTTCTTTCTCCTTTATATCATCCAATGTTCTTGATTCGTGTTCATCAGCCTGCACAAAAAATGAAACAGTGATTGATTTGTAAGAACGTCGCATTGGATATCTCAGCTGTGATCATCTTCTACCTTATAGAAAAGCCAGACTCGGTTCAGAAAATGGTAAGCATCTAAAACTAAGGCCATTGACACTTGCTTCCAACAAGGGGATAGATTTTGCACAGAAAATCTGTTCTATTCTTTCCATACATTTTCTCGTTCTCTCTTTGGGAATAAAAGAGAAAATAAAAACATCAAATATCAGCCAAAATACCAAGCAGGTAAGGGCTTTCTCCCAAAATACTTATGAGCTGCCTGAACCAAACTGTTGCATGCAACATGTGAAAAATATAACACTGGAGATCCCCAAATTGTCGGAGAAGAGACGATACCTCCATAAATTTTAGAAGAATTAGATTTGATACTGACGCTGGCTTCTCTGAGTCCCATCTGCAGAGATAATAAAACTTGAATGACAAAAAGACAACTGAAGTAGTTGGTCCTTTCAGGATGTAGGACTCTCTGAATTGCAGAATCAAAGAAGAAATTTCCTTTACAAGTGCTCATACCTTACAAGCATTAATTCATTAACAGCTCGCCACATCCCTCGTCCAACATCTTTGGTGTATGGTTCTCTGGCACTTCGACCATGCCAGAGTTCTTTCACAATGTACTTCACTTCCTCCACATCCACCTACAAAAGCATAGGGCACATACAAGTTAGAAAGAAACACAGGTGATTCAGAGATACAATTCTTTTAGTATCATACAAATAGGAGACACTTGTATGTTGATATGCCCATGCCAGATTCTCACAACTAGTAGCGTAATAGTTAAAAAGTTAAGACTAACAGGAAAGCAAAGAACTAATCAATTATGAGGATTCGCCCGCGAGAAGGTATAAGGTGTATATCCATATCCATACCTGAACCTGCATGGCTGTGCCATACAGGGACTCCTCATGTTCAATAAGGCGCTGATGAAGCATTTGATAGTGCTCCGTATCCAAATTAACAACAGGTTCCATTTCCACTTGAAACCCTGCTAGTTTTGTCACGACATAGGAAGCCATCACTTGGCCAAAGATTGCAGGGATAGTGCCCAAAACAGGAATGATCCGCACCCTGAATCCAGGAACTATCTGGAATTGACTCATAGTTAGAGATAAAGCTTAAATAAAATAAAACACAAATTTGAAAAAGTGGTTCAAACTGATTGGAAGCATCCTCACTTGATAATCAGAAGGATTCTCTTCTTCTCCACTTGGTCCCTTGAATGGAAGCAGTTTGGCTTTTGGCTTTTCCAGAGAGAAGACAACAGGTATTCCCCCCTCTATACCATGATGCTTCCTCAGACGATGTCTTACCTAAACCAGAGAAACATAGTCAGGTTTGACATCTAGACATTACACAAGACATGCATGTACGCACAATAGTGACATAAAATCAAGACCTTTCCCAATGAATCAAGCAGTCAACACAAAGTTATGCACTTGTGAATGAACCTTCTGCTAAAACATCATATCACTTTTTCTCTAAAAGCTTCGAACATCAGAAAATGAAAATCAAACTTTTAAGGAATCCTTTTCCAATAATATTTCCACTGATTTTTGCAGTCCAAGTCCATTCTGTTTCAAGACAGTGACAGATGAACTCGAACTTCAATGCCCTATTTTTTACATGCTTATCAAGTTTAAGAATGAAAACCACAAGGAGCATGACAGCACACAACACATTCATAAGCACATCTATGAAAAAGTGAGATAAAAGTACATACAGATCTAGATAATGGATCATTGGTTGACTCTCTTAAATCAGCCACTCTTATTCTGGATGGGTCAGCTCTGGCACCTGCACCTGTTGCAGATAGAACCTTTAATCCCCTTCTAACACATGCAGCTAGAAGCGCTACCTATCAGAAAATAAAAGTTTCAGTTTGTCAAATCCATTATCTTAAACCCAATGGAAGACAGAATACTTTAGTATCTTAATCAGATGAAGAAGGTCCGGGAAGAAGAATGTTCCATTGATTGTACTCCGATTAGAAAAGCACATCAGACACAAAGGATGAACACATACAATGGATAGTTTGCTGATCACCCAAAAGGTGGTACCTTCGTGTCAATGTTGTCAATGCAGTCCAGCACAAAATCCGGATGGCCTGAGAGAATCTCTTCTTCAGATAAGTTATCATACAGAAGAACTTTCGCTTCAATAGAACACTCGGGGAAGATTGACGAAAAATGCTTTTTCAGGCACTCAGCTTTCGGAATGCCAACATCTGCTCTCGTCGCAACGGCATGTCGATTTAAGGAAGAAACAGATACCTTTTCATGACATGAGCAAAAATAATACAGTGCTGCATCAATAAATTATATGTGCCAAGCTACTTTAAAGGTGAAATTCCCATCTTTCACACATTTTTTATTTGCGTTCCATAATTTGTGGAGAGAAAATGCAGCTCTGTACAGAATCTTGGTGGCACCACCAAAGAGTCTATAGAAAGATAGTAACTTAGGTAAGCCATAAAATAGGGGGAAAACAAAGAGCAATGAAAATACCTGGTCAAAGTCTACTAAGAGGAGTCTTCCAACACCTGACCTCAACAGCATTGATGCTGCATGACTTCCAACGCCTCCTAGACCAATGACAACGACGTAGGAGGCAGTCACCTTGGTTTGGGACTCAAAACCAAAGAATTGAATGTTCCTAATGACCACAAGAAAGCAATCCAATGACAAACTGTGCGTCAAGAAGATTGGATCCTAAGAAGTCGCTTGACCAGATAGAAGGCAGCTACAACAGACGAAGATAAATAACACAACATCCATGAATCATGGTCTGTATAGAAGGTTTCGAATATGAAAAGGTTAAAGCAAAGAGAGAAACTTACTCACTGTTAAATGCGAGCAAAATTAAACTTGTTACAGTGCCGCAGACACTGAACAAGCCAATAATTCAATTTGAATGGGGACTGAAGGAAGAAAGAAGAATGATGATGGCCTAATCTCGAAGGTCGTAAGCAACGAACTTTTAAGCAGGAAAACGAACTCAATTTGACCGGTGGGTTACAGGCAAGACAGTATGGAAAACGAAGTTACTCCAAATCCAATGCAATGAATGGTAAGGAATAAAGCAAAGCATCCAGCACCTAGGCTAGAAGCCAATTAAGTCATGAAAACTCAGGATTTCGCAATGAGCTTAGACAATAGCTTTAATACATCCAGAGTAAAGCTGAACTTACCTGGTTAGTTGTTCAGAAACTATTTCATCCTTTAGAAGGTCTGAACCTCTAATCCCGTCATTTCTATCTGAAGTTGAGCATGCCACTGAAACCTCCTGTCGAATCGCACCACCTACCACATAAAAAGAAGCAAACTTGCTAGCATCCCATCCAAGTTTAAGCATGGACATTGAGTTTCAGACATCCAAATACCAGGAATCAGGCAAAACAAAAGCACATACCATTTAATCCAATATTCTTCACTCTGTCCTTACTTGGGAGAGACTTTCTTCTGCAATAGGCAAAAGCTTACACAACTCGTTACACTTTGGGTTACAGGTGTTTCCTTGAGAGCGGAGAGGGCAAACAAGAACTTGCCTGGAAAGAAGCTCGAGGAGGAAGAATGTGGACATAGAGCCGAGAACAACCCCTGCGCCCACCAATGCTACACATTTCGCTCTCTGCTCCATCAGAGATTGCCGCCGAAATCTCAGAAAGCAGACAGTAAAACTTTGAATCTGGTCCAGTCAACAGTAAACGGCGCAAATTCGAGATATTGGCTTTTGTTCATCCGAGAGAAATCGAATCAAGCGCCGGCGACGCCTTTCTTGTCTTTTTTTTTTTTTTCCAAGAAATGTCAAGAGAAAACCTATACAATCTACCCCGACCCTGCCCAACCCAATACATCAGAGAAGCCAACCCACAAAATCAAAGGCTCAAAACTCTAAAGGGGAGAGTAACAGTGCTTTCTGCGCCACTCTATGGGCAGCACTGTTAGCAGTTCGAGGAACTGCCCTAAACTCTAAAGAAATAGAGACGGAAGAAAGGAGAAGGAAGCAATCCCGACGCACCGGACCTCCAATGGAGTCAGAGAGAGCACCTTGACGAAGCTGCCGAATCACCACCTCTGAATCTCCTTCTATGATGACCCGAGGCAGCACTTTGGAGACTACAAGGGCGATGGCGTCCCTAGCTGCTAGGAGCTCCGCAAGATAGGGACCAGCAATACCGGGATGGAGAGACCCTAAAGCCAGAGCCACATGCCCATCTGAACTGCGCACCACAAGACCAGACGAGCACCCAGAAGGACGAACAGCAGCATCAAAGAGGAACTTCACAAAGCCAACAGGAGGAGGGGACCAAGACGAGAGGCGAGACCGGGAAGGCTGGGGCGGAGCAGGGACCAAAGGAAGGGAGGAAGACAGATCGCGAACTTGGAAAAAAACACTGACGAGCGAGAGACCGGGCATGAGGCTGGACATGCTCAAAGACCACCTTATTTCTAGACTTCCAGATCCTCCATAATACACAAACGTATAGGAGAATGTGGGTTTGGGGGTGCTCAAAAAGCATAACATGTCGCCACCGCTTCTGGGGTTTTAGGCCTTCAGGGGTTTGAAGAAGTTCTACTTCCTATTTGGTGAGTTACGGAAAGACCATCATTACATTTTTAATACCAGGTTTAATCCCTTAAATCTTTCAAATCTTACAAGTAGGAGACATTTATAAAGAGTTGCTAAAGATCTAGCAAATGCCTGCATATCTGACTTTCTCCTGGCATCGTACTTGCATCCAGAGACCGAAGCTCTTTCAGCTCGCATTTGCTCTTCAAGCTTTATTGCAATGGCGATGCACAAAGCAACAGCGCAGCTGACTTGCAGCAGACTAACCTTATTCACGCTAGTTGCGGTTTTCATCCAAATCGTCGGCCTCTCGCTCTTCGTCTACGGTTTCTTCCCCGTCAAACCGGCCCTCTCCGGCGTCAGGTTCATTATCTTGGAAAGCTCACCTTCTTCGCTTGCTATATACTAGTTTTATGTTAATTAGAGCGTCTAGCATTCATTCGTTTTCCCTCACATTTGCCTTTCCAGTGGCCTGGAGAGTTTCTATCCGCCGGGCTATGATGCCGGTAAGAATGGAAGTGAAATACAGCCCAATTTGCCTCCTCATCAGCTGAAATCCTTGTATCAGGTGCACTTTCTTCTTCGCCGTCTGTTGGAAAATGTCAGATGCTTTTGTTGCTGTCCTGTGCAATTTTAGAATGCTAAAGAGCATTATGTTATCAGTAAACGTTGATCATGCTGCTGATCCGAAATGAATTCGGAGATGTGTAATTGATCCAAAGTGTTGCAGATAACCTAATCGATCCCACTATTAAAATCAGTACCGGTGCAGATGGTTTCTTTGCTATGTGGCATTTCTTGTCTATTAGGTGGTAATGGTGGGTGTCTGTTATGTGTAGGAGCTCTCTGGGATCGCTCCTGCGTTTGACCGACTAATTCTCATGGTATGCACATTTTTCTCGTAGGGTTACTGTTCATGCTATATGTACAAAAAAGCTTCAGTTTGTCATGTACAACAGTGTCAGTTTAGGTTATTGATGGTCTTCCAGCAGAATTTGTGCTTGGCAAGGATGGCCAGCCTCCGCTTAAAGATCTGATGGAAGCTATGCCATATACGCATTCATTGTTATCTACTGGAAAGGCAATTGGCTACCATGCAAAGGCTGCCCCTCCAACCGTTACAATGCCTCGGTTAAAGGTGGTTATTACTGTCTACTTTCACAAACTACGCACAGGGGTGTACATCCTGTGAGAGTCTTCCATTTCTTATCGATTTGTTAGTGTAAAATTGCAGGCGATGGTTTCTGGCGCAATAGGGGGATTTTTGGATGTGGCTTTCAATTTTAACACTCAGGCTCTGTTAGATGACAATCTTCTTGGTTAGTAGTTTGAACTATTGCTATGATAATCTGATTTGTGACTTTGATAGGTTCGCAATCCTCCTAGGTTTTGCTGAATCTTAAGACTTAAGTTCCTGACGAATAGATATCTTGCAGGCCAGTTTTTCAAAATTGGTTGGAAGATGGTGATGCTGGGAGATGACACTTGGCTTAGACTGTTTCCAGGTTTATTTTCGAGACATGATGGAGTTAACAGCTTTTATGTAAGTTTGTTTATTCCCACATGTTCTGCTTTTCAGTTCCATAATTTTTTGTTTGTGATGATGAATGTTGCATATATTTTAGTTGTTCAGATCTGTTGAAAAAGCCTGAGATTGCACGATCTTTGTTGTGTGTCTTATGTCTGGGTTGTTCTTTGACAGGGTTGTTAGGCTTACATTCAAAGGATTTGAAGAATGATATGTCTGTTTTGATTTTTTCTTTCCTCAGGTTAAAGATACTGTACAAGTCGACTTCAATGTTTCTAGGCATCTGGAAAAGGAGCTTAGCCAAAGTGATTGGAATCTTCTGGTGAGTCCTTCGAATGAGTCTGAGTTGTATACGAAGCACTGAAGAACTTGGTCTAGGTTTTGTCGAGCTGGATTTCCTGGATTTTTGTGTTCTCTATATTTTAGTTTCTTGTACTTGATTCGTTTTCAGCTTTCTCATTTATTTGTCTCCCCCGTGAAGCAGTGCTTAATATGTTACGCCTTTGATGAATGTGACTTTCTGTTTTCAATCTTTGACTTGGACCTCTTTGACATGATTTGTTACTCAATAAGAAATTTAGCTTTATATTATATACATAGTTGTTTCACTGGACAATTAGTGCTCAGATTTTAGTTGTTGTCTCCTTGTAGGTTCTTCACTATCTTGGCCTGGATCACGTTGGACATATTGGAGGGCGTAGCAGGTTCTAGCTTCATTTCAGATGAAAGACCTGACCAATTGAAAGTGTTGCTTGCGTTTATTGAACATCTTATGTCTTAAACTACTGTAGTTTCCTGATGGGCCCAAAACTTACCGAAATGGATGAAGTGGTGGAGATGATTCATTCACATGCCATACAACCTCAAGGAGATGATCATGAACGGACACTTTTGGTTTGCCATGTCCCTTACTCATATTGAATTAAAGATGCTTAGTTGATAATTCATTGAGGATCATAAGGAAACTTTTGTGTTGTGAGCTCATGGAGATTATCCATGGTAATGAATCAGGATGGTTGACCAGTTAGATCTTTTGACATTTTCTATAACGAAGTTTACCTCATAATCATTTCTTCTTGTGCCGTAGATTTTAAAAACTATGTTGATTATTTTACAATTGATTAATTTGAATCCTATTAGTCTGAACCAGTTTTCAAAGATGGAAAGCCCTGGCAAGTTTGTGTTTCAAATTCTCAATGGCTATTGATATAATAATCTGTCATTCTTCTGTAGCAAAATAGTTTGCTGATCGGTATGGATATGTGGACGACCCTACATATTGTCCTCCTCCTTTCCGAATGCTCAGAATCTCTGCATTTACATTCTTTTTTAATATGCGATGGATTTTATGTATGTAGGTGGTGGTTAGTGACCATGGTATGACTGAAAGTGGGAATCATGGAGGTTCTTCATACGAAGAAACTGATTCCTTAGTGCTTTTCATTGGCCTTCAAAATGAAATCACCGACCAGGCATCAGTCAGTTCCATACATCAGGTAATTTTACAGCATCACTGCATCAGTTCTTACCTCCTATGAGAGCCTTTTCTTTGTTCGTTTAAAATTGCAAGCTTAATTGTGTATGTATTAATTTTGAGTTCCCTAGATTGTTTAATTATGTATAAAGTCTTTTGGTGGTTTTTTTCGTTACTCTTGTTTGCTGCCTTTGTTTACTGCTTTTGTTCTCTCACTTTTGTACCAATGGTTTACTTTAAGTCTGTTGTTCGACGTGTTCCCTAATATGCAAGGTAATCAAACTATACATTCTGCACAGGATTGACAGCCTGTCCAATTGTACGATTTCACAAACCACTTGGAAAAAAGTTATTATCAATTACAGCTTTGTGCTCTCCCTTCTGTTCCAACTCTGAGGTTTATTTTAAGTCTGTTGCTCAAAGTGTTTCTTCATATGCGAGAGAATGAAACTATAGATCTATGGCAGAATCTAAACCTTGATAATCATATATTTCAACCCTAGAGAAGACTAATGTTGTGTCTATATGCACAGGTTGATCTTACTCCAACGCTGGCTCTTCTTTATAATCTGCCAATTCCCAAAAACAATGTTGGAATCCTTATTGCTGAAACATTTGATTCTCTTCCAGGTTAGTTCTTTGAGTGTGGATATTAAATAGCTGGATAGAAATTGGGCAGATCGCTTCCTAGATGCTGGTGGATATCTGTATCAAAGTTCTATGTCTGAAGTAAAAGTATTAATAATCAGTTATACATTAATAATCAACCACACAAGATGCGCGGTATGAAAGAAAATGCTAACTATAATCTTTCATTTGTTGGCTTCTTGGCTTTGTGCTCATTAGCTGATCCATCGATGTTTATCTACTTTGACATATATTATTTTTGTTTTCATGGGACAGAAGACAAAAGGCTGAGAGCTCTGCAGTTGAATTCGTGGCAACTGCTGAGATTAGTTCAGGCACAATTACCAGCATTCTCGTATGGAGGCTCACGAGACGTTGGCTTGTCTGATCATGTTCAGTCAACAAACGGAGAATGCAGTGGTAGTATTGAGAGGACTCTTTGTTGCTTATACACGAAAGCTGAAACTCTTAGTCATTCCTGGGAATCTATGAGTGGCTCCAGGTGGGTTTAGTTACATGAGACAGCATGTGATACAATTTTCATATTCATGAATCAATATTCAGCTTGCAATGTTTTCTCAATACTGTTAATTATTATTAATTTAAGTAAACATCAATGCGTGTAGACTTGATATTAATGATTTATCTACATAGGTCTGAGGCAAGGAATGATTACAAGGTTGCTGTTGCTGCATATTGGGATTTCTTGAATACTGCAAGTGAATGGTTATCACGCAGAGTAACCGATGTATGTATGATTAGTTTATTACTTAGTATTTGAAGTCTTTCCAACCGTATCTTATGAAACAAAATAAAAATAAAGTATTGCTTATCGTATGTGGAAAATATGAAAATGATTACTGCCATACTTTTGTCTTCCCTGTTATAAAGCTTTGTTGTTTTCCTCCCCAGAAACCCGTCAGCTTGCTTGCTTTTGGGATCGCTGCGATGGCTTTATCATGTCTAATCTTTTTAGCCATCCTAATTTGCTTGCAAAGAGAAGTCTCGCCTTCCATCCAGCATGTGCGCAAGTGGTGTTTACAAGAGATCTTTGTTCTTAGTGTTGTATTCATCCTTATGATGAGTATGGGTTCAAGTTCCTTGGTAGAGGAAGAACAATATATTTGGCATTTTGTTACAATGACATCATGCCTGTTACTACTCCGACAACTATTAGGATCTCTTCATGTTGGAAGTTTTCAAAGTTCGCTTACATTGCAGAAACAGAACCAAAGAATTAGATTTCAACTTTGCTCCATGATATTGCTTCTTTTATCTGGGAGAATATTGGGAGGCTGGCATCAAGGTGGAGTTAACTGGACTCATCTTCCAGACATTTCTAAGTGGCTTGAAAAATCAAGAAGTGGAAGTATAAGGTCTATTCAGCTAGCCACGGGCCTTCTTGTGATCAGTTTGGGCTTATTTGCTTTATATTTACCGAGGCCAAGAGGAAAAGCCATTCTTCTTGCTGCATTTTCCTTTATATCATCTGGGTTCTTTGTTCTAAGGTATGTCATGAAACATGGGGAGGAAAATGCTTTTGCATTTTCCAATTATGGTTCTAATACATCGGCCCAGATAATATATGCAATTTTGGGTATTTCTGCAACGACCAGCTTTTTGGTCACACCATGGCTGATGCCTGCTGGGAGTTCTCATGATCATTCAAGACATCATTTAAACTCAAAGCAGTCAATTCCTATTGGCATTCAACATGAGGATCTGTTGTTGGCACTTAAAGATTCTTCTTATGTGATTGGGCTGGCATATGTTATATGCTGTTGTCTTCTACAGCTGCTGCTTCAACAGGGAATCAATGCAATGCCCATCCTCTTGCTTATGGTACAAATTTTGGGTAGCATGCTTTGTTATTCTCAGAGTGGACAATACCATACGGAATTGGTTGAGGTCAGTTCATATTCCATATTTTGGGAGTGTCTTGATTTTCAAGCGGTTTATTTGAGAATTGAGAACAAATATTGGTAGCGTCTGACTAGTCATGGATGGGTTATGGCCGGCGATTATGCATTTCTGTCTGTATATTTGCTGAAGCATATCACCTTATGAATTTTCAATGGTAATGTCAGGAAAGTTATGCTTGTTTATTCTCTCTATCAGGTTGCATCACTGTACTACTTGGGAATGGCCGGCCATTTTGCTCTAGGGAACAGCAATACTCTAGCCACTATCGATGTTGCTGGAGCCTTCATCGTACGTCCTCTCATCCTATTTGCTTGAGAATGCTCTAATCCCCGCCATAAACATGCGCATGCACATAACGAAAAGTCATAGCCAGCTAACTTCCAGTTGGAATTGCATTTTTTGTAGGGAATCTCAAGTCACTCCATATTCCTTTCTGGTATCTTGATGTTCATAATCACCTACGCTTCTCCGCTGCTATTTCTTCTGAGTTTGGTCATGTTCAACTCTGTCAAAACCACACACTATCTTGCAAATGATGCACATACGGTTAACTCGGGCCAGCTTCTCAAGACCATGCTTGGGTTTCCTTGCCTAGTTCCGTTGTGCTTAAACTCAATCCTCTTGACATCATACACCGTCGTGTTGGTCTTGATGAGGAACCATTTGTTTGTGTGGTCCGTCTTCTCTCCCAAGTAAGTCTGTCGACGCCTGCAACTTAGTAATATTATAACTTTATTGAATTTGTCACAACAATTAATTTCACCAAGAACAATTTCATCTGATGAGTTAAGTTGACTTCGTGGTTCAGATACTTGTACGTTTTCGCGACGACGGTCTGCATTTATGTCGGGGTCCTTGTGGTGGCTGTGACAGAGACTTACGCGTTGCTGGTGCTAGCCTTCAGGAGAAAGCAATGTCTGACTGGTCATGGAGTTGAATCGGTAACAAGAGAAGAAACCTAATTTCGATTCTTCTAAGACTGGCAGTTAATCTTTTGCCGGAGTTTCTTCCAGTTGAAGTTTTAGTTCTATTTTTGTGATGTTTATGTGACTTCTGTAGACTGGTGAAGAAGATGCTTTGACGACCTATAACTTCTAGGAGAGGTGGAGACCAACACTTTTAGAGAAAATGGTCGACCCTTACAAAGCAGTGTGCATTTTTAGATGATGTTGTCCCGCATCTCAGACTAGGCAAAGCAAATTGATAAACTTAGGCATTAGTGAATATTTAAGCAAGTGTGATGAGGACTTGGTTTGCTGTTTGTGCTTTAGAAAGTTCTCTATTGAAGCTTCAAGTTGAGATCAAGACGCAAGGTGAGAGGGGGCAAATTTTGACCAAGTCCAAAAACAGTCTTTCGGTATCAACTTTGGGAAGATGCACAAGCTTAGTGGGGATTGTTCGAAGGTGACCAAAGCCTTGGCATTAAAGTACGAATGTTGAAGCATGATGACCAAGCATGGATGGAAGGGAAACAAGTCTTCTGGTGGTTCAACGAAGGGTCTCAAGTTGCTATCGATACACAATCAAAACTTGAGCAAAGGCATAATTTGTCCAAGTATTGAACACGGGTTGAGCTAGGAACTTCAGGGCCTTATTCGAAGAGTTTGGGAGCTTGTCAATGGAAGCCGAGAGTTGAGAATGAAAGTAGGACTCTTGTTAAACAACATCAAGGAGTTGGGTGACTGAATTGAAGCTTCCAAGACGTCGAACCATGGACTCAAAGTAGCTATGGAAGACTATTTCTTTACTTGCGCCGGAAGTAACTTTCTTGTGTAATAAGCTATTAGTTGCGGCCAATTCCTTTCCTTTTTCTATTTTGGATTCTTGTTTCCTTGTTAATGTTTAAGTTAGCTTGTGATTCCTTATTAGTTTAGCCCTCGACTTAGGATTGTAATTTGCTATTTAAAGGCTTGAAAGCCTTGATGTAAACTTAGTTTTTGATTGAATAACAAAGTGACACTGTCACCCCCAAACCCGTTGTGTGTTGGTTGTGATCCAACAACGCGTTTGCTTCATATTCATTGAATATACACTTTAATTGTGGTCGAGCTTCGAATTAATACCAATCAAGCCTCTTCCCTTGTGTGTGAAGTTGTACCTTTGGTTTTCCCTCATCAAAATTATGCCTAAAACCCTATGTTTTTGGGTTGAGGTTCAATCGACCAAGGTCTCTCCTTGATTGACCTTGAGCTGTGCAATTCTAAACCAAAACAAGCACAGCCGTGCTTGTATCAAAGTGATGTGAAAATTAGATTAAGAATATATTATTTTAAGTAGTATTTTTGTTTTTGTTTTGACACTTCAAACCGGAAAACAAATAAAGAAGAGAAACGAAAAAAGAAAGGATGAAACTAAGGCCCCGTTCACTTTGTTTTCAATGATTTTGGCAACAGAAAATAAAATATGGAGAAAAGAAAGCTGTTAATTTCTGAGAAACGATTCTTAAAAACCTTATACTGAAAACTTGTTTAGGTAAGATTTTTGGTGAATTTGGAAACTTTAACACACAAAACATCTTTAAATAGATCCCTTAAAAAAAGACACCTATAACTAGGACATCTTCATAGTATCATAGATCTGATAACGTCCATCACGCTTGATTACGTAGTAGTAAACATACTAGTGGTTTTAGTATGTAGCATTTTTACCTTTTTGAGTGAAGTGTTGATGTGACTTGAATCGGACTATCAGTCGCTACGACTGGAATAGTTTGGAAGGTTTTTATTTAATTCAATCATAAATATATTCCAAACATAATTTGGAATAGTATTCCAAACATATGAATTAATTTGAAAATGAATTTCACACTACAGTTCATTTTGAATTGAAATGAACTTATATCTAATAAGATGAAGCTTATATCTAATAAAAAGAGAAAAGTATTCACCTAATATTTATAATTTATAGTCACTAATTGTGGGAAAACAAAGGTCTACATGAAATTAGTGGGCAGTCTAGATACAATCTGGGCTCCGACTCCCTTAGTGACAGCAAAGCTAAGTCTAGTGAAAATGTACGCGGCCGCCCGAGACCCCACATCCTGAGACATGGAGAATTTCTGGATGCACTTGAGCAAAGCCACAACATCCGTATCCAACTCTCACAGTGAAGAGAAAGAAAAGGGCAGGAACCCGTAACCAGCTGCCATGCACAAGTCCCGATACTTAGCACACTTTCGCCGAGCAACATCAACAACAACTCAGCTCGACACAAAATCGGTCATCCCAGTCTGATTCAAAGGTGAAGAACCAGTCAAATCAATACACGCATCTCGCTCCCTATCCCAGGAATAAAGCAGCAAATCCGCAAGACGAAGGGGTCCGCCATGCCCATCAACCAAACCGATACCAACCTACTTTCCGACAGAAATCCCAAACCTGTAATAGATGCCCATCAACCAAACCGATATTCACCTAATAGATAACAGATTTGTTGGATCCTGGTGCATGGCTTTCTACGCGGTTTTGGAAGTCACACGGATAAATTGGTGGTATTGTATTTTTATTGTTAATTACTTAATTTGTAATTTAATCGTTTTATATTGATTTGGCCATTGCCAGGCAGTTTTCAGATCGAACAAGCTAATATGGTGATTAGCGCTGGAGGTCGGTCGGATTTGGTTTAATCGAAAACCGAAAACCGAAAACCTGGTTATCGGTTAGCCGAACCACCCCCCAGACCTTGCGACAACCGACTAAAAAGAGAATCATGGTTAACCGACAAACCGACTGGTCAGTTTTTGGTTTTATGCTCAGTTAGCCGCATACTCGAAAAAAATAACCCTTCTCTCTAAAACGTTGGCATTTAAGTGAAATTCATTATAAAAACACTAATGACAATTCCTCCACCACACAATCCTTTCCCCGTTCTTCTCTCTCTTTCCTCCCTCCATTTAAGCTCTCGAGTCTCGACCCTGGCGTGGAGAAAGCGACCCACCTGGTCACCTGGAGACTGCGACCGATCACGGAGACATAGCTGGGGCGAGCGAGGTCGGCGATGTCGATGAGCGGCGGACGCTGGACTCGGCGAGTCGTCGACGACCTGATGCGCGAAAGAGGACGCGGGGGTCGGGCGTTGGGGGTCGCAGAGATCGCCGGAGTCGTGGTTGTCGCGGGGGTCGCCAGAGTCGTGGGGGTCGCCGGAGTCGCGGAGGGTAAGGCCGACGGGGGTCGAGGAAAGCAGTTGTGCACGGGGTCGACGGAGGAGCAGCGTTGCGCGAGGTCGTTGGGTCATGGTTGCAAGGTCTGGGTCGGCGGGGAAGGGGGGACGACATGCGATCTAGGAATAGGAGAAGGTCGTCATCTCGTCGAAGCCTGAAGGATTTGGAGGTTGGAGGTGGATAGGGTTGGTGACTGGTGAGAGGTCGATGAAAGAGGAAACAAGGTCATTTTGGTGGAGGCGAATACTGGGTTGGTGGAACGACGGTCGGTTGCTTCGGTTAGCCGGTTAACCAGCTTTGGTTATTCGGCTAGTCGAAGTAACCATTTTCTCTACTAAACACCAACCGAGCACCCTGGCAATCGATTTTCGGTTAGCCGCTAACCGATGGTTATCGATTAAACCGACCAGTTATCCGTTAACTGAAAACCTATCGGCCACCCCTAATGATGGTTTAGCAAATGCTAAATTATAAATTTGGTCACTCAAATTATATAAATATTTTATGTTTGCTAGCTGAATTAGTTTTATTTCTTATTCGTCACTAACTTTGCTAATCGTGTCACCGTTAGTCACTGGCAGTCCAATTCCGTTAAAATCATCTGATGTGCCAGTCAATTAAATAATTTGACCGTTAGTTTGATGACGTGACAATTAAAAAATAATAATAGAATATATAAATATTCAGACCAATAGTAATCCACCACCTGGAGCTGTCAGCCTCATCCTAACCCACCGCCCTTCCCTCTCCAGCCACATCGTCCTCCCTCCGGAACTTATCAAGCCGACGCCACCGTGCCTTACATCGTCGCCATCTCCGTCTCCACTCCCTCCACCGCCTTCCATTGCTTCCCTCCTCCCCCGGCCACCGCAGTCTTCCCCGAGTCATCGCACCCCGAGAGCGCCTCATGCTCGAGACCGTTCGCCTCGCCCTCCCTCACCTCCGCCGCACCCTCGAGCAAATCATCTTCGAATCCGCTATCGTCCATGCCCTGATTCTCAATTTCTTCTGCACCGCCAAGCTTCCGTCGCCTCCGAGCTCAACATCCTCGGCTATAACATCCAGCCTTTGACACGCTGGAGAGCGAAGCGGTCAAAGAGATTTCCGCCGGGTCGTACGTTCACGAATGCTTGACTCGACCGCTGTACTGCATCGATTCGTTGATCGGCAACGGTGGAGGGAAGAAGGACTGGATCCGGATTCAATACTGATTATCTTACCTGGCTCGATTCCTAGCCGAAATGTAGCGTCGTTTTCCTATGCTTCGGCAATTTGGGGATTTCCGAGGGAGTGACTTTGGGAGAAGATAAAATATTTTTAATTTAAAATTAATATATATTTTATATTATTTTTAAATTGCCACATCATTAAACTAACAGTTAAAAGGTTTGGTTCACTGCCATGTAGGATGAATTTAACGGAATTGGACTGCAGGTGACTATCAATGAAGCGATTCATCAAGTTCGTGAAGAATAAGAAAGAAAAATAATTCAGGTGGCAAACGTGAAAATTTTGTATTATTTGCGTGACCAAACGTGTAATTTAGTCATTTAGCAAACTCTACATCTTGCATATTGCTCTTTTTTAAATTGAATACAAAGAGCAACCTAACCTTCATTCGTTACTGTTTCTCCCTAAGATGTATCCAGGGTTAACATAATAATAATTGAGGCTCTGCTTTGGATTCTACTCGTTCGATCTCTTCGGGAGGCGAGGAATCTGTGAGGAGGAGGGGACGGCCTCCGGAATCTACGCTACGACGCTCAAGTTAGTACGATATAGAAGTAGTGTAAGGAATGTCTATGGTGTGTAGAGAGAGTTTAGAGTGAGAAACCTCAAGGGAGGGTCCCGGAAAGGAAGAGGGGATCTTTGGTTTGAAGGCGTGAGTCTATTTTTATCGAAGTCTTGGGATCGTGGGCTTGGGCCCGAGAAGATGTGTGGAGCGATGAGCTCGGTCCTGTTAATTACGTAGTTGTTTGTCGTATTAAGCGAATTAATACCACACCCAACAATTACCAATCGAGTTGCGGATAGCCCTTGGATTATACGTAGTCCAATGACATAATCTAGTGTTAGCTACTGCAATGAAATGAAAACCAAATGGTGAAAACTGCCCTGGACTAGCTAGGTCGTATGCACGCTTGTTACCCATCCCAATTTCTACTAAGCAGTGCTTGAAATCTCTGGACGGCTGCTGCATGGTGCTCCTCCAAAGAGACAACTCCAAACTAGTGTGCTCAGTGGAAGGTATCGGTGATAAAGCAAGCAGTGTTAGAGGGTGGGTCCCTTACTCTAGAGGAAAATGATTAAATTAGATATAAAAATTAATTGATATCGAAAATTAGTGTGCGTCTAATTGAGAATAGTTGATCAATAGATCTTGTGTTTGAATCTTGGCGACCTTATTTGTTAAACACATGATATTTAGATTTGCGCCAACTTCAACTCCATATTAGTTGACTTTCATATGATAGTGTGTGTTAGTAAATTGTATAAGATATATTATTGAACCTCTCCCAACAACTCAAGTTATTGATACTAAACAGTCATTGACAAAGAATATAATTTGAAACTCGAATTCCCGCCTCTACTCAAGCTCTCATTTCTTCATAAAAAAGAACACCATTCTAAAGAGAACGACTAACTAAATCATGAATAATTGTTCAATATAAAAT